GCTGACCTGCCGCATGCTGGCCACCCTGAAGTCCTTTGCGCACGACGTGACGTACTGGGAGGAGTCAGGAGGGGAAAACACACACAGACACACAATTAACCATTATGGGAAAATATGGACAGTGTGGGGGGGGGAGAGACGCAAACGCAGATGATCCGGTGACGTACCGTACCCTATAGTGACGGCCCTGTGGGCCGATGCCCCACCACCACTACCATAGGTAGGACGGGGGAGAGGGGAGGATGGGGAGGCCCTCCTCTTCCTCCTCCTCCCCCTCCTCCCCTCCCCTCCCCTCCCCTCCTCCTCCTTCTCCTCCTCCTCCAGATGCCCTGCCCTGCCTTCCCTGCCTCTCCCCGATGGCTGCCAGAGGTCGACCCCCCCTCACTTGGCGGCATGACCCCGCGTTGCTCTGCCCTCCGGCCCATCCTGGCACGCTCCCGGCCGTCCTGGGGGTGGGCGCAGCTGGCCTCTGGGCGAATGCCCGTCCTGGGCCAGCGCCCTTGTCTCCTGGGATGTGAGGGCTGTCTCGATCGCTGGCTCCACCATATCTTCTGCCCCGCCCTTCTTCACCGTCTCGCCCTGCCCTCGCACTATCTTCCCTGCCTGTCCCCTCGCTCGCCTCGGCCTCGGCAAGGAAGATGAATATGGCCCTGGTTTCTCGCGCTTCGACGCGCACAAAACTTCAGTTTAAGCTGTGCATCTCTATCACACACTAAAGGCAGAGCTTGCAGCCTCGCCGTCCCAGGCACCTGCCCACCTGAGGCTCCTGCATGCTGCCAAGCTGACCATCGGTTCTAGTTGATGATGCCACGGAGCTTCCGAGCTACGCGGGCTCCTCCTCCTCCTCTTCCTCCACCTCCTTCTTCTCCCTCTCCTACCTGTGGTTGTGGAGATGGAAAATCGGCCCATCAAGGAGGGCGTCAAGATCGACGAGCCCGCGTTCACCCTGCTGGGCCTCGACGAGGTCGCGCAGTTCGCGCTGCTGCGCACCGCCGAGCGGGCCGCGGCGCTGGTCGACGAGCGCTGCTGGCGCGAGGCGTACCAGGCGAGCGACGCAGAACAGCGGGTTCAACCGCCCCGGCATCGCTCTTTCTCGGCGAGGACCCTTGAGGAGCATCCTTGACCGCTTGGCGAAGAAAGCACGCGCGAGGCCGAAAAGAGCACAGGCAATGGACGCTCGAGCGATGGCCAGCTGCGCGGACATCCGCGCGCGAGCTGCCCGCGAAGGCTCGCGCGCCAGTGCCCTCCCCTCCACGCGGTGTGCCGCGCCGGCGGCCCGCGCGAGCCCGCGGCGCCAGGCCGCCGCGCCCCCCTCGCGTCTTCGGCCCCGCTCCCCTCCGCCGCCCAGGCGCTGTGCGCCGCGCGCCCCTGGGTGTCCTCGGAGCCCGACTCGGGCCCCGCCCAGGAGCAGCGCGCGGGGGCGGAGGCGGAGCTGGCCCGCGTCGAGGCGCGGGCCCGCCGGGAGAGCGGCGAGCCCCGGGGCCCGCCGCGCACGGGGCCCTGCGGCGGCAGCGCCGCCGGCGGGCCCCCGGCGGCCGGCAGCGTCGCCGTCGTGGTGCGCCTGCCGGCGGGCGGCGCCGGCCGCGTGCTGGGGCCCCACGCGGCGACGGTTACGGCGCTGCAGGTGGTGATGATGGTGATGATGATGGTGATGACGACGATGATGATGATGATGATGATGATGATGATGATGATGATGATGATGATGATGATGATGATGATGATGATGATGGTGATGGTGATGGTGATGGTGATGGTGATGGTGATATTGATGATGCTGATGCTGATGATGATGCTGATGCTGATGGTTATGATGCTGATGCTGATGACGATGATGCTGCTGATGCTGATGGTGATGATGATGCCGATGATGAAGATCCTCATGATGATGGTGATTGTGATGGTGGTGATGATGATGCTGATGCTGCTGATAATGATGATGATGATGATGATGATGATGATGATGCTGATGCTGATGTCGCTGATGATGATGACGATGACGATGACGATGACGATGCTGATGCTGCTGATGATGCTGATGCTGATGATGATGCTGCTGATGGTTATGGTCATGATGATGATGATGATGATGCTGATGCTGATGATGATGCTGCTGATGATAATGATGCTGATGATGATGATGCTCATGATGATGGTGATTGTGATGGTGGTGATGATGATGCTGCTGATGATGATGATGCTGCTGCTGATGATGCTGCTGATGATGATGCTGCCGATGATGATGACGATGATGATGATGATGACGATGATGATGATGCTTATGATGATGTTGATGATGATTATGATGATGATACTGCCAATGATGATGCTGCTGATGCTGATGGTCATGATGCTGCTGGTGATGATGATGATGATGCTGACGGCGGTGCAGGTCGTGATGAGGATTATGCTGATGCTGATGATGCTAATGCTGATGATGCTGCTGCTGATGCTGATGATGCTGCTGATGGATATGATGCTGCTGATGATGATAATAATGATGCTGATGATGATGCACATGTTGCCGCTGCGGATGATGGTGCTGATGATGATGTTGATTCTCATGATGATTATGATGGTGGTGATGATTATGCTGATGCTGATGATGCTTATGATGCTGATGCTGATGCCGCTGATGATGATGATGATCTCGCTGCTGCTGATGATGATATGATGTTTATGCTGATGATGATGTTGATGATGATCATTATGCTGATGCTGATTGTTATGGTCATGCTGCTGATGATGATGGTGATGCTGATGGTGGCGATGGTTGTGATGATGATGCTGATGATGATGCTGATGCTGATGCTGACGCTGATGCAGCTGCTGCTGATGCTGATGATGCTGGTGATGATGATGATCATGATGATGCTGCTGCTAATGCTGCTGCTGCTGATGATGCTGGTCATGATGATTATGCTGCTGCTGATGAGGATGATTATGCTGATGACGATGATGTTGCTGATGACGATGATGCTGCTGATGATGTTAATGCTGATGCTGATGCTGCTGACGATGATGGTGCTGCTGCTGATGCTGATGATAATGTCAATGATGATGCTGATGATGATGCTGATGATGATGATGATGTTGATGATGGTAATGATGCTAATGATGATGCTGCTGCTGATGATGCAAATGCTGCTGTTGATGATGATGATGCTGCTTCTACTGCTGATGATGCTGACGCTGATGATGATGCTGCTGATGATGATGTTAATGATGATTGTGATGATATTTATGTTGATGACGATGATGATGACGTTGATGATGCTGATGATGATGATGATGACGATGATGATGTTGATGCTGCTGCTGATGACGCTGATTATGATGATGATGACGATGAGGATTATGATGATGCTGCTGATGATGTGCTGCTGATGATGATGCTGCTGATGCCGATGATGCTGCTGCTACTGCTGCTGATGCTTATTGTGGTGATGGTTGGGATGTTGGTGATGATGATGATGATGATGATGATGATGATGATGATGGTGCTGCCGATGCTGATGATGATGGTGATGCTGATGATGCTGCTGCTGCTGACGCTGATGATGCTGACGCTGATGCTGATGCTGCTGATGATGATGCTGATGCTGATGGTGATGATGATGCTGATGTTGATGATGATGTCGATGCTGATGATGATGCTGATGCTGAAGATGATGTTGATGCTGCTGCTGATGATGATGATTCTTACGATGATGAGGATGATGATGATGATGATGATGATGATGATGATGATGATGATGATGATGTTGCTGATGTTGAGGATGTTGATGCTGGTGATGATGATGACGATGATGATGGTGATGATGACGATGATGATGCTGATGGTGATGATGCTGCTGCTGCTGATGATGATGATCATGACGATCACTTCGGCGACGGTCACGGCGCTGCAGGCGGAGACCGGCGCCCGCGTGTGGCTGGACAGGGCCAGCGACGAGGCCCACGTCTCGGGCACCCCGGAGGCCGTGGAGGCCGTGCGCCGCGGCATCCGGTTCCTGCTGACGCCGGTGAGGGGCGAGGATCGCAGAAGAGAGAGAGAGTTCAGAGCCCCGAATCATCAGGGGTAACTCGGGTCAGGGCTAACTCGGGTTCGATTCTCGGGATTCCGAACCCGAGTTGCCCTGGGCCCGAGTTACCCCGGATAATTCGGGCGCCCAGAGCCCCACATCATCAGGGGTATCTCGGGTCAGGGCTAACTCGGGTTCCTGCTGACGCCGGTGAGGGGCGAGGAGCGCAGAAGAAAGAGAGAGTCAGGGTCGGGGATCGCGGAAGAGAGAGAGGATCATCAACATCATCATCATCATCATCATCATCATCATCAGCAGCATCATCAGCATCATCATCATCAGCATCGTTATCATCATCATCATCATCATCATCATCATCATCATCATCATCATCATCATCATCATCATCATCATCATCATCATCATCATCATCATCATCACCATCACCATCATCATCGTCATCGTCATCGTCATCGTCGTCATCATCATCATCATCATCATCATCATCATCATCATCATCATCATCATCATCATCATCATCGGGGATAGGCACAGGGGGGGCGCATCGACCCCCAATCGCCCATCGATCGCCGGTAGGGGCCCAATAGCCCCACCCCTGCCAGGGAGGTGCGGAGTCACGATCGGGGGCCTGTCGCCGATCTATCGGTGATATATCGCCGATTCCAGGTCGATGTTTCCCCCCCTATCCCTATCCCCCCTAACGTTGCCCCTCAGAGAGATCGCGACAGACATATACTCCGCCAACACCCTCCACTGGATTTGTCCTGGGCTTCAGGGGAGGGCAGCGGTGAGGGAAGCACCGCTGGGAGCCAGCGACTTTCTACACCGTCCCCTCCCTGAAGGTACATGCGAAGTTCGTCGGAGGGTGTACAGTGGAGACCCATGCCAAGAAACACCCTGCTTGCCTCCAGGGTGCCCTGGGCTTCTCGGGTTTCGCTGGTTTTGCTATGGAGAGCGTGACGTTCCCACACCAACAGCCATGGGCGTCCTGGGGTCTCAGAGGTGGGTTTCTTGTGGAAGGTTTCTTGTGGACTGGCCTCCACTGTATACTCTTCGTGGCGTACAAACGCCCAGGGGTCTGAGCTGGAGTGGTTTGGTCTGGCGCAGGCGGGCCGGCGGCGGCGAGGGCTGCCGTCGTTCATGGGCTGTGCACGATTGCTGCCGCGTGTCGCAGCTTGCAGCCACCGCGGGGGGGGGGAGGGGGCACCCCCTGTTGCACGGGCGACGGCGGTTGGCGCACACCAAGGTGCTCCAAAAAAGGGCCTGTTGTCAGGAGGGGGAAAACACACAGACACAATGAATCGTCCACTCCCAGGAAAATATGGGAAGTGGGGGGGGGGGAGACGAACACCCAGAAACCATGGGAAGAAATGGTGCATCCTTCTATCTGTGTGTATCTGTTTTATCTGTGTGCCCCAGGGTCCCTTCGTTCTGCCTTCCAGGGTCGAAGGGAGTTGCCGCTGTCTCTGCACCTCGGCGGCGGGCGGCGGAAGGGGGGCGACCGAGAGCAAGAAGCGGGGCCGCCGCCGCGGGCGGGCCGCTCCTCCTCCTCCTCCTCCTCCTCCTCCTCCTCCTCCTCCTCCTCCTCCTCCTCCTCCTCCTCCTCCTCCTCCTCCTCCCCCCTCCTCCTCCTCCCCGCTCCCTCCTCTCACTTCCCTCCTCCATCCTCCCTCCTCCCTCCTCCCTCCTCCTCCTCCTCCTCCTCCTGGCGGCGGCGGGCGGAAGCTCGCCGGAAGGCGGCGGAGCTCAAAAGGTGCGCCCCCCAAGATGATGATGTTCCAGCCTACTTACTGTAGCCTCGATCACCAGACAGAGCTTCAGGCACAACATAATGCTGAAACTCAAGGGTTTGCGCGTGTCGGGCCCTGGGGGACACTCGTCCGACACTCTTTCGACAGTCTCTCGATACTTTTCGACAGCCTCGGCGGGCGGGCAGCCGGCGGAGGCTGGCGGAAGCTCGCCGGAAGATGGCGGAGCTCAAGAGGTGCGGCCCCCAAGATGATGAGGTTCCAACCTGCTGACTTCAGGGCGTGAATTACCCACAGTGGGGGCCCATGCCAAGAAACACCCTGCTTGCCTCCAGGGTGCCATGGGTTTCTTGGGTTTCGATAGGTTTGCTGTGGAAGGCGCGACGTTCCCACACCAAAAATCAATGGACGTCCTGGGGTCTCAGGGTTGGCTTTCTTGTGGATGGTTTCTTGTGGTCGGGCCTCCACTGTACCCCGCTTTCGCTTCCAGGCAGAACCGAGTCATACCACGCGCCGCCTCGTCAAGCGGCCTGACCAGTACGGGCCGTAGTTTGGCATCGCTTGGTATCTCTTGGAAGCGAGGGTGGTCAAAAGCGAGGTAGGTTTGTTCGCCCCCTATAACTGTAGCCTTGATCACCAGAAAGAGCTTCAAGCACAAAATAATGCTGAAACTCAAGGGTTTGCGCATGTTGGGCCCTGGGGGACACTCGTCCGACACTGTTTCGACACTCTTTCGATACTTTTCTGGGTGCTCGAAATTATGTCTGGGATGCGGTCCTTAAGTACGATAGGAGCAACATAACCCTAAGAGATGAACACGTTTTCCGAGATCCGCCATCTGACAAAATGCACCAGCGCATCCACGCGCAGCTACGGTTGGGGGCGTTCGTTCAGGAGGGTGCCCAGGAGGCTGCAGACCCTGGTGGATTCCTTGTCTGGTGAGGGCGGCGATGCTGTCCATGACACAGCCTCAATTGGCGTTCCCCTGGCTGTCAGACCCTGGAGTCTTTACCGAAGGGTTTCTTATCCAATACTCCCGCCGTGTTGCATCCAGCGCGCAAAATCTGACGCATCCAGGAACCCACTATGGCTACTGCATCTAGCACGCAAAACTGCTGCGTCCAGGAGCCCACTCTGACAAGCACTCTTGCACCTCCCTCCCCCGCGGACCCACCTACGCTGGACCCCCTACTCCGTCTTATTGAAGGATGTCCGCGCTGACTTGCTGTTTCTGTGCTGGAGCCCGCTGGCGGCGCCTCTGGCGTCGCCCTTCAGCCCCGATCCAGGAAGTCCGCGCGGGCCTCCGCAGGCTTTTAACCTCCTCCCCCTCCTCCTCCTCCTCCTCCTCCTCCTCCTCCTCCTCCTCCTCCTCCTCCTCCCCCTCCTCCTCCTCCTCCCCCTCCTCCTCCTCCTCCCCATCCTCCTCCTCCCCCTCCTCCTCCTCCCCCTCCTCCTCCTCCTCCTCCTCCTCCTCCTCCTCCTCCTCCTCCTTATGTGCAGATTGCTCCTCACCCCGAGGAGGCCGACACGTCGCCCAAGCGCGCGCCGCTGCCCTCGAAGAAGGCCGGAGGCGAAGACGCGCGCCTGTGCCACCGGTCCTGCGGCCTCTTAAGTCTTCGGGGCATCTTCCGGGGGCGCTTGCCGCCGAGGCCGGCGGACGCCTCGGAGTCCTGAGGTCTGAGCGCGCCCCGGGACAGCCTCGAACGCCGCGAGCGGCGGCGGGTTCGGGCCTCCACCCCCCTCGGGCCGAAGGAAACGGGGGGACAGGGAAAGGGGGGCGTACGAAATCTGCTGCGTGCAGCTGGTTTCGGCCCCGCCGCCGGGCCCATTCCTCGAGATCGATACATGGGCGCCTCCCGGCGCCGGGAGGCGCGGGGAAGATCAGCTACGTGAGCTGATTCTCTACCCTACCCTTTGCTATCCCCCCCTTTCGTTCTCCCCGACCCCAGCAGGAGTGCGCCCCGATCATGTGCCGGTTCTTCCAGAACGGCACCTGCAACAGGGGCAGCGCGTGCCATTTCCTGCACGCGCCCGCCCAGCCGAGCAGCGACGACGAGGATCGAAGAAGAAGAAGAAACGCTATAAACATAAGCTTGTGGCGCTCCGCGCGGATTTCTGGGATCCGCGCTGGGCCCCCCTGGCGGCGCCTCCGGCGCCGCCCCTGGCGCGCTCCGCGCGCCGGGGAGAGGGGTCCAGCGCAGATCCAAGAAATCCACGCGGAGCGCCGGAAGTTTCTGTTTACGTTTTTTTTTTTTGTTCGGTCGGCGAGGAGACGCGCGCCAGCACCGACGACGAGCCGCTCGGCGGCACCAGCGCGAAGAGCAGCAGGGCCGCGGGCAGGGCCGCTCCGCCGGCCCGCCCTCGCACGGGCTCGGGCGGCGCCAGGCCAGCGAGGGGCGCCGCCGGTTCGGCAAGCCTGAGCGGGATCTGGCAGGAGCCCGCGGGCGGGGAGCGAGGAGGAGGAGGAGGAGGAGGAGGAGGAGGAGGGAGGGAGGAGGAGGAGGAGGAGGGAGGGGGAGGGGGAGGGAGGAGGAGGAGGAGGAGGAGGAGGAGGAGGAGGAGGAGGAGGAGGAGGAGGAGGAGGAGGAGGAGGAGGAGGAGGAGGAGGAGGAGGAGGAGGAGGAGGGAGGGGGAGGAGGAGGAGGGGCGATCGGCACGAGTACGCTCAGTGCTCGTTGTGGGAGCCCTCCTGCGGACACCTGGCGGACCCGTTCAGCTCCAGTTCGGCTCCAGTTCGATGCAGATTCGGTGCAGGTTCGACTCGGGTTCGACTCAGGTTCGGCTCGAGTCGACGGATGGTCGACGCACGAGTGGAGCGATTGGCTCCAAGAAGGTCCCCGGAATGGGCATCTAAGGTACGGAAACAGTGGGCACAAAGAGTTCGCTGTCGGCGTCGCCGCGGTCGTGGTCCGTTTGAGACGGGAGGCCGCCTGGCCAATAGCAGTTGCTGTCGGTTTTGGACAACATTCCCTACCTAGGCTCTGCCTAGAAGGGTTCTTACTCTCTGGGCTTAAAGGGGCCGGGCAGTGGAAAGCGCCCCAGGCGGTTCCCCCAGTATCCGCCCCGCGGTTCCCCCAGTTACGTCCCCTTAGCTTAGCGTCGCTTATCTCATCTTAGCTTAGCTTATTTCATCTTAGCTGAGCTTAGCTTCATCTAAGCTCAGGTGTATCTTAATTTAGCTTACCTTCATTTCAGCTTCGCTGAGCATTAGCGTAGCAGAGCACAGCACAGCATAGCATAGCGTAGCATAGCATAGCGCAGCACAGCATATCATAGCATAGCCCAGCATAGCATAGCATGGCGCAGCATAGCATAGCATAGCATAGCGCAGCACAGCACAGCACAGCACAGCGCAGCATAGCATAACATAGCAGAGCAGAGCAGAGCATAGCTTAGCATAGCACAGCGCAGCATCACATAGCATAGCGTAGCATAGCATAGCATAGCATAGCATATGATAGCATAGCATAGCGCAGCACAGCATAGCGTAGCGTAGCGCAGCATAGCATGGCATAGCATAACATGGCATAGCATAGCAGCGACTGCTGCTTTCCTAGGGGCTCCAACTTTTAGGTAGGGTCGCACTGGGATAATTTGTTGCTGGGCATCGTACCATTTTTTCCGTTGCGGGTCTAGCTTCTGGTAGCGAGCAAGTTGGTTGCGTCGGCCACGATCGAACCTTCCAGCTTGGCGACTTCATTGCCAGTTGCTTCCTTACATCTTCATGTTTCGCTTGAGTTCGGTCTTCCGGCTGTCTGGACATCGGCAAAACGTGCTCCGGATAAGGAAGGATCCCCCCCTTCACCCCTCGGATGTTGGTTATCTCCTGGCAGTACAGTTGTCTTCGTGGGCGGGGGGCGGCGAGGCCGAACTTGATTTTATCCCGTCCAGAACCCAATCGTAGTTGTGACCTTCTTATCGTCTATCCTCATCTCATTTTTTCCCGTACAGATTTCGGGCGTCCACGGTCAAGGAAAGAAAAAAACCCAGACCCGACAATTGGCAGTTGCTGAACGGCCCTGTGCGTTTACTGAACAGCCCTGACCTGTTTGACTTCTTCTTTGGGTGCGTTCACGGAACGACTTCGCGTGTCGGGGTGATTATACAATCGCTTCGCTCATTCCGCCGGCCCATGTAGCCGTAGCCTCATCTCTGCCGCTTGGCTGAGGGATCGTTGTCAATACGGCGCTGCTGGGGTCTCTTGGCAGGCGTTTCGGGAGGGTCTTGGAGGCAGTGACGCGTGCCCGATACGGAATGGATTCGAGCAAACAGAGATCCCTCGTCCCGACCAACGAACGTAGCGACGACGACGGCACGTGTTGTGCCATCGCTGGCGTTTGGCCCGTTAGGGTGCCTCTTTGGGGCCTCTTGGGGACCTCTTGGGGACCTCTTGGGGCTCTCTAGAGGCCTCTTCGGGGCCTCTTGGAGCCTCTTGGGGAGCTCTTGGGGCCTCATGGGCGTTTCTCGGGGCCGAGGGCTCGAAATGTCCGTTCGGGTTCCGCGTCTGGGACCCCCTTGTGGACCGTCCTGAAGCCATCTTGGGCCATCCTGGAGGCCTCTTGGGTCGTCTTGGGGCCCTCGAGGGCCATTCTGGGCCCCTCTTGGAAACTTTTTGGGCTGTCTTGGGTCGATATTTGGAGCCTCTGGGGCCGTCTTGGAGCGTCGGGAAGCCGAACAGGTGAGAACAGCACAATCCGTCAAAAACCTTAGGGAAATCAATGATTTTGGTTCCTAGGGCCCTCTTGAGACGCTTCTTGGAGGCCTCTGTGGGCGTCGTGGAGGCGTCTGCGGCCATGCGGAGGCCATCTTGGGCGTCTTGGACCGATCGGGAAGCGACTCGGAGGTATCTTGAGGACATTTTGAAGCCCTCTTGGAGCGCTCTGGGGCGCTTGAGAGCCGCGCCCAGGCGGAAAACCATCTCCGACGGGACCGTCCTGAGGTATTTTTCGTCCGGGGACCCCCAGGGGCCGCCCCGCGCGCGCGAAGCAGAAGTACTGCTTCCCAGTTGCCGGGTGTCTTAGCACCCCTCTGGCCCGTTGGGCCGGCGAATTCTGTTGGTGGATTTTCTGTCCCCTACACACCCTGACCTTCCAGAGAGTTGTCTTTTAGCACCGGAAACCTAAAAACCCTAAAAAGCTGCGCGAAACAGCCTAACACCAGGACGTAGACATAGCTCTGGGATAGGTTATCTTTACGTCGAATGCTATTTTGTTTTGCCCTCCTGGAAAGGTAGGGACAGGGGAGGCACAGCCAGGTCCGCGGCCTCGGGGCCCCCACTAAAACAGGGCTAGGATCGGGATGAATCGCTCCAGAGCGTTCCGGAGCGCTCTCAGAGCGTTCCGGAACGCTCTGGAGCGGCCGCGGCGCCCAATACATCCTCCAAACCCGCCGATTCTCAGAGATTTCGAGTCATCCCGATCCGATTTTGTCGCGATCTTCGCGTCGTTTTACCCCCTCCCGGGCGCGGGCCTCGGGGCCCGCGGCGTGCGCAGGGGCGGCTCTGCGAGGCCGCCCCCGCGCGGAGCGCAGAGATGGGGCGCCGCGCCGCGGCCTCCAGGCCGCGAGGGCCACCCGGAGGCTCAGAGGAGGGGAAGGCACCCACGCCACTGCCCCTACGTCGGGCCTGTCCCCCTACAGGAGGAAGATCAAGAAAGAAGCCAGCAATAGTCTGGGCACCGCGTTTTCTAGCATGTTTGCGTGATCTGTATGTCTTGAATGTTGGTTCCAGTCTTTCCTCCAAGATCTGCCTGTAGGGGGACATGCTCGACCTGGGCATACCACTACCCCTCGCCCGTCTTCTCGCTCGCCCTCCCGGGAGGCTCTCGTCGCCACCGTCGGGTTCGCCTCGAGATTCGGGTCAGAACGCACCCTGGGAGAGGGCCGGGGAGCAGCGGCGTCGGTATACTTTTTGGTTCCCCCAGAGATCTGGCGCCCGACGCCGTGAGTTGTCCCCAGCGCGGCGCCCCAGAATTAAGTCGGGCCTGTCCCCCCACAGGGAGGATTTTCGACGAAAAACAAAAAATACCCCAAACATATTCCAAAAAGGCCAAAAAATATTCCAAGAATAGTCCCCGGACTATTCTTGGATTATTTTTGGATTATTGTTGGGGTATGTTTTATTTTTCGCCGAAAATCCCCCTGTAGGGGGACAGGCCCGACTTAACTGTACCTCTTGATTCCCCCAGAGATCCGACGCCCGACGCCGTGAGTTGTCCCTGGCGCGGCTCCCCAGAAGCGAGGGCTCCCACGAGAGCGCGAAGTTGTTCGCGCTTCGCGGTCCTCGTTCCTTCTCCTCCTCCTCCTCCTCCTCCTCCTCCTCCTCCTCGTTCTTCTTTTTCTCCCTCGTCCTCCTTCTCCCCCTCCTCCTCGTCCTCCCTCATCCTCGTCCTCCTCGTCCTCCTCGTCCTCCTCGTCCTCCTCGTCCTCCTCATCCTCGCGCGTCGCGCTTCGCGGAGCGCGAAGCGCGAAGTTGGGAGCTCCAGAGGAGGCTGGGCCCCTGGCTTTGGGGACCGGCCTCGCGTGCAGGGAGCTGCTTTGCCGGCGGCCCTCCAGGGGGCTGGGCGAGGGCCCCCCCGAGGCCGAAGATGGCCCGAGGCCTCCCGTCGAGTTTGTCCACGGCGCGAGGGTGCCTGTATATCTACATACATACATACATACATACATACATGCATGCATGCATGCATGCATGCATGCATGCATACATACATACATACATGCATACATGCATACATACATACATACATACATACATACATACATACATGCATACACACATATATATATATATATATATATATATATATATATATGTATGTATGCATGTATATATTCCTATATATACATATGCTTGTTATGGATACGTATATATATAGATAGATCGACGTATGTATGTATATGTATATACTGCTCGCGTCGGATCTGAGTGGCCTGGCCCGTGGGGGTGCTGCTCTGAGCTTGGCCCCGTGGGCAGGCGAGCCGAGCGAAGCATTGGAATGGGCATGCGTCCACTGGTCGGCCCTTGTCTTTGGGGCGCGCCCTGGGCAGGTGCTGTGGCCCCATTGAGGGTCAACGCTGGCATTCCCAAAGCGCCATTTATCAGAGCCCCGAATCATCAGGGGTAACTCGGGTCAGGGTTAACTCGGGTTAGTTTCTCGGGAATCCGAACCCGAGTTACCCTGGGCCCGAGTTACCCCGGCGTCCAGAGCCCCACATCATTAGGGGTAACTCGGGTCAGGGCTAACTCGGGTTCCTTTTTCGGGAATCCAAACCCGAGTTACCCCGGATAACTCGGGCGCCCAAATTTACATTCTTGATGCGGTTGGGAAGCCCTGCTTTTGTTTTTACGGTGAGTTTTGCATTGTCACTCTTGGTGAGATCTATGCCTGTAAGGTGTAGCGGGCGAGCGCCCATGCCAATTGAAGCATCGCAATCATGGTGGGGGCGGTCGTTACGGAATGTTCCCACGAGGCTACAGACCCTGGAATATTCCTTATCTGATGAGGGCGGCGGTGATACCCATAGTCACATCTCAGTATCTGTTCCACCAGTTTTCAGACCTTGGATTCCTTCTCCAGGGGTTCCTCATCCAACGCCCTCACTGTAAGGCAAACGCCACCAGAGCCCCGGACCCCATCTTTCTGCAACCTTGTTCGAGCTGGATGGGCCTGAGAGGGTTCTGGGGCCCGAAACTCACCACCTACCAAACCACCCCAACCCAACCCGAAGGCCTCAATTTGCCCTCCATTTCCAGTGGGGGGGGGTCGGGGAACGTTGACAAAAACACATGGAACCCGTACCCCCCCCAACCCGAAATTCGGGTCAAATTCGGGTCTTCGGGTTGGGTTGGGGTGGTCTGGTAGGTAGTCAGAAACGGGAAGAGAGCGGCCGGCTCGAAACAAATGAGGCGCCAGGATCTCGGGGACGGGCGTAGACGCGGCCGCTGCCCGCGCGAGGAGTGCCCGGACGTCGCCTACCGCGTGCAGTCGCACAGCGAGCTCTCCTGGACGTGCGTGCCGTGCGGCGGCGGCGGGGCCTCGAGGAGTCGTTGCTCTAGGCCTCCCAGATGGAGCCCGAGCAGATGGGGTCAGAGGATCGCGCCGCATCGCCGATGCATCGCCGACGCGGCTCGATGCGGAGCCCGACGTTCTACACGCCGACGGCGCCAAGGCATCGCCGACGTCGCCGATGCATGGGCGATGCATCGGCGGTGCATCGGCGACGCGGCGCGATCCTCTGACCCCATCTACCCAGGCCCCGTCTAGGAGCTCATGTTGCGTTGTTGCGTGATATCCGACCCCCAAACTTGCAAACCTCCCGGTCGATTTGGGAGGTCGCCGCGGCGATCGCGGCGGCCGCGCATCGGGGCAGCATTTTTGTCACGGGGTGGTATGTCGCGTCCCAGGCCTCCCCCCTTCGTGCGATGCAGACGTGGCTCACGATTGACCACATAGCGACAGAGAGTTGCCACCGATTTTCCCCGTCCAGCATGGACATTGTCTTCGAATCCCAGCGACAACAGGCGTGACCAGGGGGGTGGGGGGAGGGGCGGGGGCCGCTCACACGTCACGCTTCGCGCCAGCGCCGCCTGGGGACTGCTCACTCGTAAGAGTGGCTCGCTTCCCAGACGGCGCTGGCGCGAAGCGTGACGTGACCCGGGGGAAGGGTGAGCGGGGGCTTGCGGGGGGGTGCGGGGGGCCGTCAGGGGGGGTAAGGGGGAGCAGGGGGTGCGGGGGGGAAGGGGGGGGCGGGGGGTAGAAGGGGGAGCGGGGGGGAATGGGGGAGCGGGGGGTACAAGGGGGAGCGGGGGGGGGGGAAGGGGTAGCACTGGGTTGCGGGGCCAATCACGGGCGTTGATCGCCAATGGCCGAACACACGGGCTCTTGGAGGGCGCCGCGGCGATCGCGGCGGCCGCACCATCGAGGCCGGGGCTTTTGCCAAGGAGCGTCGTGCCCTCTCCGAGAAACCCTTTTCCCCGCTCTGCGATGCAGACGTGGCTCAGAATTGGAAAATCTAGCGACAGGGATGTTATGCCAATTGACGTCCAACTTGGGCAGTCATATTGCTTTGGCTGGGGGTCGATCATGCCCAGGCCTCCCAGATGGGGTCAGATCAGATGGAGTCGGAGCATCGCGCCGCATCTCCGATGCATCGGCGATGCGGCTCGATGCGGAGCCCGAGGTTCTACGCGCCGACTGCGCCGAGGCATCGGCGATGCAGCGGCGACGGATGCCTTGTAGCGGGCGTTCTGCGCGCGCAAGTTGCACTCCTAAGGGTTGCCCGCAAGTCGATGCCAAGGGCCCGGCGCCCCGAGCCCAGATGCCCGCGGGCAGGGCCACCCAGTCTCGGGGCGCGGCGCCACACGGCGGCGCCAGCGGGCCAAGGCCCCGGGAGTCACGGGATGCCGTGAGGCAGGCGCTCTGCCCGCGCAAAGCGCACGCCCCAGGGCCTCGCGCAAGTCGATGCCCGGGGCCTGGCGCCCCGGGCCTGGGAACTGCGGGGTGCCTCGAGGTGGGCACTCTGCCTGCGCAGAGCGCGCTCCGGAAGGCTTCCCGCGTTTCGATGACCAGGGCGCGCCGCCCCAGGCTGAGGGCCCGCTGCGGGCGAGGCCCCCCAGTCCGGGGACGCGGCGCCACCGGCGCCCGGAGCCCAACGCCAGCGGGCCCGCGCCCTGCTGCCTCGGGCCTCGAAGAAGCACCCCCCGGGGGCGCGAGACCCAGACGCGCGCGCACAGCGGCTCCCGCGGGCCAGAGCCCGGGAATTACGGGGTGCTTGGCGGCGGGCGCTGTGCCTGCGCACAACGCACCTTTGCAGGTTTCCTGGGGCCCGGTGCCCCGATGGGATGCGTTGAGGCGGGCGGCCTCTGCGCGCAAGACGCGCTCCTGAGCGTTTCCCGCGGTTCGATGCTCGGGGCCTCCCGCCTCAGGCCCAGCGCGCCCGCGGGTCAGGGCCCCCGGCAGCCTGTGGCCGCGGCCCCACCGGCGCCCGGCGCCCAGTGCCGGCCCGCGCTGGCTGCCTCGGGCCCAGAAGACGCGCCCCCCTCTGGGCGCAAGCCTCCAGCGCGGGCACGATTTATCCGTAAGGGCTTCGCGGCGAAGCCTTTACGGATAAAGAAGGGGCTGGCGGCAGGGGGCGAAGCCGCTTCGCCCCCTGCCGCTGGCCCCTTACTTAAATGGGATATAACAGAGTCGCGTCGGTGCGTCTCGGCGCTGCCTTGGCGCATCTGGGAACAGCATGCGGGGGCGGATAGGCGTCTTCAGCGCATTTTGAAACGTTGGCGTTGTCCTAGTGGCCTCCGGCCCATCCCGCCACCGTGCCTGGGTTGTGGGTCTGAGGCATATTGTATATGTGTTGGGATGTCGTGGGGGGCCTCTCGGAAGCCTCTTAGAGGCGGTTTGGGCGCCTCTTGGGCGCCTCTTGGAGCCTCTTGGGTGCGTCTTGGGCGCCTCTCGGGGCCTCTTGTAGGAGATCGTGGCCTCGGGGGCGCGACTGCGGCGCGATTTCCGAGGGATCGTGGTTTCGGGGGTGCGAGTGTGGCTCAATTTGCGCGGGATCGTGGCTGGCCTCGGGGGCGCGAGTGTGGTGTAATTTGCCGGAGATCGTGGCCTCGGGGTCGCGAGCGCGGTGTAATTTGCCAGGGATCGTAGCCTCGGGGGCGCGACTGTGGTGTAATTTGCAGGGGGTCGTGGCCCCAGAGGTCAAAATGTAATGTAATTTACAGGGGATCGTGGCCTCAGGAGCGTGAGCACGGTGTATTTTACAAGGGATCGTGGCTTCGGGGACGCGAATGCAGTGTACTTTGCCAGGGATCTTGGCCCCGGGGGCGCGAATACAATGTAATTTGCGATGGATTTTTGCGTCGGGAGCGCGAATCTCAAATATTTTTACGTGTCCCACGGCCCCCTGAAATTCAGCACGCGATTCGGGGACGCTAGCCAGGGTTCTCTTTGGCTCCCCCCCCCCCTCGCGCGGACAGTAACAATCTACAGTAAGAGGCAGAAAGCTATACTGTTCATTGGTGGAAACTAGAACTGGTGCAGGTTGCAGCAAACCTACGCCTCGCAGCCTGATGGCCCCGTAAGGGGGCTGGCGCGCGCACAAGGGGGGCTGACTTTGCGCGCGTGCGTCCAAGGCGTCACAAGGCCGCGCGCGTCCATATCCAGTGCGCCACGCACTTTCTTGGAACGGGCGCCACAAGGCCGGGGCGCACTGGGTATGGATAAAAATCGAGCGTGCGGGGTGCAAATTTATCCATATCCAGTGCGCCTCGGCTTTCTGGGGAAGGGAGCCCGAAGCTCCACAAGGCAGTGGACATGCACATATGTATTGCCCGCATCAGACGCGCGCATCTGGCGGCGCCTACGAGCTGGGGCTTCTTAGGAATCGCGGACTGCTCGGAGGCGGGCGTCCCGCCCGCGCGAAGTGCACTTCGGAACGTTTCCCGAACTTGATCTCAGGGCCCGGCGCCCGGGGCCTGGGACTTCCGGGTTGCCTGGGGGCGGATGTTCCCCCCGCGCGCGCAGAACGCCTTCCCTGACCTTCCAGAGAGCCATGTTGTGGCACTGGGGGCCCAAAAGCCTAAGAAACGGCGCGAAAACGGCCCCCGGAACCAAGACGTAGCACAGCTTCCGCGTAGGTTTGTCCGTCGCGTGCTATTTTTGTTGCCCGCTCGGAAGGTCAGGGTTCCAGGAAGGGCCCCTGCAGTTCTCGGGCGACGAGAACTATGCACATGCACCGATCCTGGCAAGGCCGATCCTTGACCCAGGATCGGTGCATATGCCTTCCTGGCCAAGGTAGGAGGGCGTATGCACCGATCCTGGGCTCAGGATGGGCCTGGCCAGAATCGGTGTATGTGCATAGTTCTTTTTCCTCTAAGTTCGACGCTCGGGGCCCGGCGCTCCGAACCCGGGGTCCGCGGCGCCAGGCCGCCCAGTCCGGGGCCGCGGCGCCACGCGGGGGCTCCAGCGGGCCAGGGCCCGGGGACCGCGGGGCGCTGGGGGGCGGGCGCTCTGCCCGCCGTATAATTGCCTCGATGCTCGGGCCGGGCGAAAGGGGGGGGATTGGGAAAGGGGGGGTTCAGTTGAGCGGAAGATCGGGACAAATCGGAACCAGAGATTCTGGGAGAGTTCCAAAGAAAAATAGAACGCCGAATTGTGGAGCGCAGCGCGCGCATTCGCAGAAGTTCCCCAAGGACTTTTCGAGGGCTTGAGGAGCCCAAGTAACGCATGGGCGCTCAATTAAACTGTTGAGGGCGGGCAGAAGCTGGTGTGCACGAGCATGTCGGGCCGGGCGAAAGGGGGGGATGGGGAAAGGGGGGGTTACGAAATTTGCTGCATGCAGCTGGCTTCGGCCTCACCGAGGGGCCCATTCCTCGACACATGGGCGCCTCCGGCGGCGGGAGGCGCCGGGAAAATCAGCTACGTGAGCTGATTCTCAAACCCCCCCTTTGCTATCCCCCCTTTTCGCCCGACCCGAGATACGCCCGTTTTGAAGCGCAGCACGTCCCGTGTTCAAGACGTCCGTGTCAATGCGTCGCGTGCTGGCTCCACGTACGGGACCACGTTTTGCCGAACGTATCGCGTCGGACCTACGTTTTCAGCCTACGTGCTGAGCTCCGTATCAAGACGATACGTGTTGCGTCTTGCGTATCGGGGCAGCTAAGCTGCCCGCGCAAAACGCATTCCCGTAGTTCGGGGGTCACATGCGAACCCTATCACTACCCCCCACGATTTCTCAAGGGGAGGGTGGGTTTCACTTCGCTTCCCACCCTCCCCCTCAGAAATCGTGGGGGGTAGTGGTAGGGTTCGCATGTGGCCCCCTAGCAGTTCATCTCACGGCCCGGCGCCCATTGTTTGGGAATTGCAGGGTGCTTTGTGGCGAGCGCTCCGTCTGCAGGCGCAAAACGCACTCCTAAAGACTTTCCAGATCACATCAATATAAGAGACCCTTCAGGAACTAAACACCGGGGGGGGCGGGGCCGGATCACGTCGCGATGCGCGCCAGCGCCGTCTGGGAATGCTCAAGAATAGACGGCGCGCGACTCGTGACGTGACCAGGGGGGGTGGGGGTGCAGGGCCGGTCACGGGCGTTATCGCGAATCATGCAGATGTTGGCTTTGGAGGTTGCCGCGGCGATCGTGGCGGACGCACATAGGAACAGGGCTTTTGTCAAGGAGCGGCATGCCCACCAGGAAGTCGGTTTCGGTTTCGGGTTCGTGTCGTGCGTGCGGGCGAGGCGAAGCTGCGTGGGCGGACAGGAGGAGGACTGACCCCAACCAGTGGGCGGGGGCGGTGGCAGTGTTGCCCCGCCGTGGTGTGCCGTCGCTGTCCGCCTCTCCCCCGCGGTGGGCGGGCGGTGGTCGGATGGTCCCGCCGTGGTGTTCCATGGCTGTCCCGTCGCTGTCCCGTTGGTGTTCTGTGGTTGTCCCGTCGCTGTCCCGTCGCTGTCCCGTCGCTGTCCCGTTGGCGTCCCGTCGGTGTCCCGTCGGTGTCCCGTCGGTGTCCCGTCGGTGTCCCGTGGTGAGATTGGTCGTGCGATCGATAGCGGGGCAAATCGTGAGATCGATAGTGAGATCGAGCGAGTGAGATTGATAGTAAGATTAATGGTGAGATCGACAGTTCTATCGATTGGTGCCCCAATGGTGGCCCCATGGTGTCCCGATGGTGTCCCGTGATGTTCCGTCGGTGTCACCTCGGTGTCCTGTAGTGTCTCGTTGGTCTCCCGTCGGTGTCCCGCCGGTGTCCCGTGGTGAGATCGATAGTGCGGTCAGTAGTGAGGCTGATAGATCGATCGATCGTGAGATCGAGCGAGTGAGATCGATAGTAATACCGATGGTGAAATCGATAATCAGATCGACAGTGAGATCGATTGGTACCCCGATGGTGTCCCGATGGTGTCCCGTGGTGTCCCGTCGGTGTCCCGTCCGTGTCCCGCGGATGTCTCGTCGGTGTCACGACGGTATCCTGTGGTGTCCTGTGGTAAGATCGATGGTGAGACCGATAGTTCGATCGATAGCGAAATCGGTAGTGGGAGCGATAGTGAGATCGATCGAGTAAGATCGATACTGAGATCGATCGAGTGAAATCGATGGGAAATCGGAAGTGAGATTGCTTGGTGTTCCGATGATGTGCCGATGGTGTCCCGTGTTGTACCGGTGGTGTCCCGTCGGTGTCCCGCGGGTGTCCCGTTGGTGTCCCTTCGGTGTCCCGTCGGTGACCCGTGGTGTCTCGCGGGTGTCCCGTGGAGTCCCGTCGGTGTCCCGAGATCACGTCGCAACGCCGCATCTTGACTTTGCTATCGCAGCGCAGGGGTGGTGGCTTCTATTTGGGCAGTGGCTTCTATTGGACCGATAGTGTCCAAATGGTGTTCCGATCGTACCCAGCACTACCGCCGTTGTTGTCGCCGCGATACTCATCACCACTGCAGCCATCACCTTGCCATCAGCAGCCAGCCATAACATTTAGCACCAACCATCACAGCATAGTAGTGGTGGCATTTATTTGGCCTCATTGTGCCCTGGTGGTGTTTCCATGGTGAGGTCGATCGAGAGGGATGGGTAGTGGGACCACATCGCGACGCAGCATCCGCACAACGCGTCGTCGCCAACTCGAGGGCGCACCACCAGCATCACCATCACCATCACCATCATCATCATCATCATCATAATCATCATCATCAGCATCATCAGCATCATCATCATCGTCATCGTCATCGTCATCGTCATCGTCATCGTCATCGTCGTCATCATCATCATCGTCGTCATCGTCATCATCATAATCATCATCATCATCATCATCATCATCATTATCATTATCATTATCATCATCATCATCATCATCATCATCATCATCATCATCATCATCATCATCATCATCATCATCATCATCATCATCATCATCATCATCATCTGTAGCAGCATCATCATCATCATCATCATCATCATCATCATCATCATCATCATCATCACCGCCATCGCAGTTGTCGTCAGTTGGCTCTTCCTCCCCCCACCAACATCCTTCTCACCCGAAGGGAGGCCGTTTAGGTAACAGTGCTGCGTCGGCTGAGGTCTACCCGTGGGCAGTCTTGTCTTCGGTGGCCAGGGGCCGATGGCCGCGCGACCGAGGAAGAAGGAGCCCATCGGCTACGACGAGGCCGCCGGGGTGTACTGGCTGGGCGCCGCGAGGGCCCACGTCGCGGTGCGCGCGGGCCCCGACCGCCTGGACTGGTACCCGGCGGGGGACCAGGAGCGTGGAGCTGGCCGGGGGGTCTGAGGGGGCCCAGCAGCTCCAGGCATCGGGCGTCTCGAAACAATCGATGCTTTGGTTTGTCATGGTTTCTCATTGTTTGTCATGTTTTTGATTTTAAAGGTTTTCATTGTTTCTCATGGTTGATGAAGATGATGATGCTGCTGATGACGATGATGCTGATGACGATGACGATGACGATGACGATGACGATGACGATGACGATGACGATGATGATGATGATGATGATGATGATGATGATGATGATGATGATGATGATGACGATGACGATGACGACGACGACGACGACGACGATGACGATGATGATGATGATGATGATGATCATGATGATGATGATGATGACGATGATGATGATGACGATGATGATGATGATGACGATGACGACGATGATGATGATGATGATGATGTTGACGATGATGATGATGATGATGATGATGATGATGATGATGATGATGATGATGATGATGATGATGATGATGAGGATGAGGACGATGATGATGACGATGACGATGACGATGACGAAGACGATGAGGATGAGGATGAGGATGAGGATGACCATGAGGATGACCATGAGGATGACCATGAGGATGACCATGAGGATGAGGATGACCATGAGGATGAGGATGAGGATGAGGATGAGGATGAGGATGAGGGCGTTTCAAAGAAATCGAGGCTTTGGTTTCTCATAATGCTTGTCGGCCTCCTGGGGCCCTTGCCGCTCCTCGGGGGCGCCAGAAGACGCCCCGGGATGAAAAGCCAGACCTGGGAATCCGGTCGAGAGGTCGGGCGCCCGCGTTTCGAACAAAATCGGGACGCCGGATGCCTGGGCTGGTTTCGTGGACGGACGTCTGCGGCCTCGCGGGCCAGGCGCCCTGGCCGCAACCCCACCGATGCGGGACGATTGCGTCAGGGAGGCCTCGCGCGGGGCGTATACGCCGTGCGATTGCGCATCCGCGGCATCGCGCCTTGGAGTCCAGACCGCGACGGCGCGCCTACAGTCGGGGCCCTGAAGAAGGAACCCTTTTTTTGGTTGGGGAGGGGCTCCGCGTTCCTGAAGCGTTTCGCAGATTCGATGGGAAGTCGAAGTTTCACTTGTGGAAACAAGGGGCCTCGTTCCGTGTTCCTTGATTGTTTCGCAGTTTGCCTGATGGGAAGTCGATGGGAAGTCGAAGTTTAACTTCTGGAGAAAAGGGACCTCGTTCCTTATGTAGGGTTCCTTAGGTCCACGCCCCGACTGTACGGATGTGCCCGCCGCGCGTGGTGGCTCCGGCCAGCAGGAAGGGCGGGTGAGGTCGTGGGTTCCGGCCTCGGGCAGGCTGGTTGCCCTCTGCGATCTCCGGGGGCCGCTTTCGGGCCCCGGGGCCGTGGAGGACGGATCCGGGTGAAAAACTGCACCCGATGGGCGTCAGGAGGGGGACCGATGTTGCTCTCATTTGGTCTTATCCCCCCACCCTCCCCATGGACTGACTTTCTCGCGGCAGCCTGTTTTTTTTGTTCGGGCTCCGGCAAGTCTACTTGCATGGACGGGGCGGGGAAGGGGGGGGGTGAACCTGAAGCAAGCCGCAATCGACTTGCACGTGCGGAAATCACGCGAGTCGGTCGAAAGGCACTCGCACGCTAGTATCTGTTAGGAAGAGGGGCGAGAAGGGGGGGGGGAAGGGGCGAGCGCCATACAAGTAAACTTGCCTGAGCCTTCAAAAACATGCTCTGGCCAATCCAGCCGAACCCCCCTCGGCCGCCTCCAGCCAGGAGCGCTCGCGCCCGGCGTTCTCGTGGCTCCGGCAGCAGCGGAGGCACTTGGCTCCGGCCTGAGGCCCTGGGCGAGCGTGGAGGGGGGATATTCCGATGCGGAGAGGAGGTCGATACAGTCGGGGCGCTGAAGAAGGAAGCCTTTTCGTTGGGGAGGGGCTCCGTGTTCCTTGATTGTTTCACAGTTTGCCTGAGGTTTTCCTTAGGTTTTCGATGGGAAGTCGAAGTTTAACTTCTGGAGAAAAGGGGCCTCGTTCCTTATTTTGGGTTCCTTAGGTCAACGCCCCCACTGTACCGCTACAGTGGAGATCCATACCAAGAAACACCCTGATTGCCTCCAGGGTGCACTGGGTTTGTTGGGTTTTGATGGTCTTGCCATGCAAGGCGTGACGCTCCCACAACAAAAACCAATGGACGTCCTGGGGTCTCGGGCTTGGGTTTCTTGTGGAAGAGTTCTTGTGGTCGGGCTCCTACTGTATACTCCTTCCTTGTCGCCGCGGCTGGATTCGCCTCGGAATCTTGGTCAGAACGAATCGCGGGAGAGGTCCAGGAAGCAGCTGTCTTGGTATGTGTCTTTGTCTCCGGAGGGTTGGCCAAGAGCGAGACAAAAACGAGCACGCGTTAACGATTTGACACGGGGCTCGAGAGAGCGAATTTGCGCGAGCGTTCGTGGCATACAGGGCGGTGTCGCGAATCGTGGGGCACACTGATGCGCGTGGCTCGGCGCGCACGTCTTTCTTGGGCTCCCGAAAGTGGGAAACGGTGTGTGTGTGTGTGTGTGTGTGTGTGTGTGTGTGTGTGTGTGTGTGTGTGTGTGTGTGTGTGTGTGTGTGTGCGTGTGTGTGCGTGCGTGCGTGCGTGCGTGCGTGCGTGCGTGCGTGCGTGCGTGCGTGCGTGCCAGGCCGCGTCCCCGCGCTCTGTTACTGACTACGCCTCGTCGCCGTGCGCGAGGCCGCTTCCGCCAAAAGTGTGTGTGTGTGTGTGTGTGTGTGTGAGGGTATGTGAGGGTGTGTGAGGGTGTGTGAGGATGTGTCTGTGTGTGTGTTCGTGTGTATGTGGGTGTTTGTGTGTGCGTGGTTGTGTATGTGTGTGTGTATGTTGTTGCTGGCTCCTCTGCATGAGCTTGACAGTCGTACGCCTCTTTCTTCTGCACTCGCAGCCCCAAGCCGCTGTCCACCTATCAGCACCGTTTGGCGGTAATTGAACAAATCAGCGTGCGGGACTTTTCAGAATGGCCTCCTAAGGAGCCCTCGTACGAAGGCCCTGTAAGAATCGGGGATGGACAGAACCCCCTTTAGTAAAACGTGGTTTAGTGAAAACGACCTGAGGCCCACACTTGGCGGGCGCAAGCCTGGAAAACAACGGCCACGGCGCCATCTCGAGAACCGAAAACGGACAATTCACTAATCGACGTGTCACTGTTGGGGGTTCTGTCCAGCCCCGAAAGAAGCCCTCGGGCTTTCTGAGGAGCTGTTTCGTGCCCTCGGGGCAGGCTTAGAGAAGGCCTCCATGGAAGGCTGGCGGGGGGGGGCCCCCGAGCCTTCCGAGAAGGCCCGCCCCTCCTCGCTCCCCCCCTTTTCCGGGCGTCGCGCAAACATACTTCTACTATATGTGCGCGGCCCCCTCCTCCTCCTCTCTTCTCCTCCTCCTCCTCCTCCTCCTCCTCCTCCTCCTCCTCCTCCTCCTCCTCCTCCTCCTCCTCCTCCTCTCCTCCTCCTCCTCTCCTCCTCCTCCTCCCCCCCTCCCCCTCCTCCTCCCTCCTCCTTCTCCTCCTCCTCCTCATCCTCCTCCTCCTCCTCCTCCTCCTCCTCCTCCTCCTCCTCCTCCTCCCTCCTCCTCCTCCTCCCCCCCGGGGCGGCGCGCGCCCCGAGAAATATTATATAGTTTTGGCGTCGCGGCGGGCGCTTGTTCTGGCCGCGCCGCTCGGGAAGCGGTAGACTACGAGGTGGGTATACCATGCGTTCGGGTCGGACGCGCGCCTCCAAGGAGGACATGTGGTATCGGCATGTCTCTGAGCGTCCCCTTTTCGCTCGCCGCCGATGCTTGCCCCCGCCGAGCCGCGGATTCGCGGCCTCTCGCCTTGCCGAAGGAAGAGAAGGAGGGGGAGCAGGAGGGGGAGGAGGAGGAGGAGGAGGAGGAGGAGGAGGAGGATGAGGAGGAGGAGGATAGGAGAGGAGGTGGAGGAGGAGAGGTGGAGGAGGTGGAGGATGAGGAGGAGGAAGAAGGAGAGGGGAGGAGGAGGAGGAGGAGGGGGAGGCCCCCCCCCCCCGCGCGTCCGCCCCGCCGAGAGGCGCCCACACCCCCGGGGCCTCTGAGGCGAGGGCGCCCGCGAGGGGCTCCGCCCCAGGGGGGCCTCCTCCGGCGGGCCCTGCCGGCTTGGGATCTGGGGGCCTCCCAGCTGGGGTCGGAGCAGAGCTCGAACAAGGAAGGAGCACATAAGCATAACCTCGCATCGCTCGGACGTGTGCATTTTTTCTCGGCGAGGGCCATCGAGGAGCATCCTCGATCACTTGGCGTAAAAACCACGCACGAAACCGAAAAAAGCACAGGGAATGGACGTCCGAGCGATGGCCAGACAAGCTTTTGGCGCCCCGCGCGGATTTCCCGGAGCCGCGCTGGCAGCCCCGTGGCAGCACCTCCGGCGCCGCCCCGTGGTGCGCTCCGCGAGGGGGGCCCAGCGCGGGTCCGAGAAATCCGCGCGGAGCGCCAAGAGTTTAGGTTTATAGCGCTTTTTCTTCCCCTAGCGTCGCCGGTGCAACGCCGATGCGGCTTGATGTGGAGCCCGATTTGGTTCACGCCGACGTCGCCGGTGCATCGTCGCCGATTCGTCGATGCGGTGCAATCCTCCGACCCCATCTACTCGGACCCCATCTGAGAAGCCTCTATGGGAGGGAGGGAGGGAGGGGGCGGAGAGGTCCAGACCAGCACTTGTCGAGTAGGGGGTCTACTGGCGCACTCCGCGCGCCAGTGGTGTCCAGCGTCTGCGTGGACCTCCGAAAGCTGTGGTTTGTGCAGTTGGCTCTGTTTCTACCGCTCCGAGCAACCCACTATGGTCTTGAATGATGCACCCCAAAGCTCTCGGCTGGTAATTCAATTCGTCCTTCTCCTCGTCGTCCTTTCCCTCATCATCAACATCGTAATTATCATCAGCAGCATCAGTATCGCCATCACCATCACCATCATCACCATCATCACCATCATCACCATCATCACCATCATCATCATCATCATCATCATCATCATCATCATCATCATCATCATCATCATCATCATCATCATCATCATCGCTGAGCCGTTACGTCGCCATGCGCCGCTTCGGTGCCAAGAAGGCGCGATCGATCCTGTCCAAGACGTTCCGCGAGTGGTGGCGAGCCATGCGGCGCGCCGTCCTGTTGGACAACAGGCTGTTCTACCGCTGCTTCGACGCGTGGGCAGACGCTGCCGCTGGTGGCGAACGACCCCGACCCGAAGACCGCATCTTGCATGACGCTGCCGCTGGTGGTGAACGACTCCGACCAGAGGATCACGTCCCGCATGCTGCTGCCGCTGGAGGTGCCCAGCCCCCTCGCGCTGAACGAGTCCCGCATTACGCTGACAATGGTGGCTAGAGCTTCCATCACAACCTGCACGATGCCGCTCCTGGTTGCGCACAACCCCATCACCCCGAACGTAGTCCGCTTCACGCTGCCGATGGTGGCGAACATCGTCATCCCGAAGACCACGTCCTGCATGATGCTGCCGACAGTGGCGAACTTCCGCCTCATGCTGAACGAGGTCGGTACCGCTGCCGTTTGGGGAGTACGTCCCGGTCTCGATGATCACGTTCTGCATGTCGCTGCCACTGGTGGCGAACAACCTCCCTCCGATGAACGAGACTCGCATGACGCTGCCGCTGGTGGCGGACGACCCTGTCGTGAAAATCCAGACCTGCATGATGCTGAGGACATTGGTGTCGAGGCGCGCCCTGTGCATCTGCATGATGGTGCTCGTCCCGACCTCTACCCGAACTGCTTCGACGCGCGCGCTGGCGATGAGACCACTTTCTAAGGCCTTTCCCGAGACCTGCCCCGTCGGTGTAGCTAGCCATGTGCACTTTGTCGTGCACACCTCAGTCCGCTCCTCCCCGTCTTGGTTGCCCCCTGTTTGCTCCCCTCCTGTTTCGCCCTTCTGGCGTCCATCCGTTTCGCCTTTGCCCCCGATCCCGCCTTTTCCTGCTTATCATAATGTTCTGCATGACGGCAACTACATGAAGCCTACGAGCGCATGCTCCTCGGCACTGGCCGCAGCGAGTAGCGCAACCACAAAGTTTCAGTGCCAGTAGAAGAGTTGTAGTGCAGCTGGCAGGGAACAGGAACGAACTTCTTGCCCTCTTCTCGCTTCTTGTCCGCTTGCCCTCGTCTCTTCTCTTTCCAAGTACAGCCGATCATCATCATCGTCAACATCATCATCACCATCATCATCACCATCATCATCATCATCAGCAGTATCAGCCTCATTTTTTATCATGGCCAACACCAGCATTACCAGCACCATCCGCAGCATCATCAACAACATCTCCATCATCATCATCATCATCGTTGGTATCATATTCGCCATCATCAACAGCATAACCAGCATCACCGTCGCAGTCGTCGTCATCATCAACATCGGCATCGTCGTCATCACCATCATCATCATCATCATCATCATCATCATCAACACCATTATCATCATCACCGCCATCGTTCGTATCATTAGAAGCATCACCATCAGCAACAGTATCAGCAGCACCAACATCAGCATTATAATGATCATCAGCATCATCATGACCATCAGGGATCCTCATCCGCCGTTCCGATCATCAGCAGCGGCGGCCGCCGCGGTGGAATCATGATGTTCAACATGAGTTGGGGCCCCAGTGTGTCAACAAGCCCGCGGAACAAAGGATTCGTTTCCCATTCTTTGGTGTGCTCTCTAAAGACCCTTTGTGGCCACCCCAGCAAAGGGGGCGGAGGGAGAGGAGGCGGGGCGGCGCGGGGGTCCCAGACCCTCCCTGCCGGCTCGAGCAGATCGCGCCCCAGAGTGCTGTCGGGGATCGGCGCTCGATCCATACCTCTGGGCCTCCTAGATGGGGTCCAAGCAGATGGGGTCGGAGGATCGGGCCGCATCGCCGATGCATCGCCGATGCTGCTCGATGCGGGGCCCGATTTTCTCCACGCCGACGTCGCTGGTGCATCGCCGACGTCGCCACTGCATCGCCGATGCATCGGCGATGCGGCGCGATCCTCCTACCCCGTCTACTCGGACCCCATCTAGGAGGCCTCGAGCCCCGGCTGCCCGGATGAGCCACGCGCAGAAGGGGAGAGTTGGGGGAGTAGGGGGGGTTTCTTAGAAACACCCCTGCTTCTCGAAGACGCAGGCCTTATCTGTAGATGTAAGGCCGGCGCCTTCTCGGAAGCAGCCTCCTTCAAAGAAGCCTCCCCCCCTCCCCCATACCCCCTTGCGCGCGCCGCAAACAGGGGCAGGCAGGGTATGGATAAGAAGCTCGGCCTCCAGAGGCCAGATTTTAGTCCATGCCCCCGCTCCGCCCCCTCGCAGAGCTCTCGCGCGCGAGCAGGGGGGCACGGGTAAGGTGTCCATCCCCTGCTCCGGTCGACCGTCTGCGGCGTGTCAGCGGGGGCATGCTCTTTCTGGGGCCCGTTTTGGGCGGTCCAGAGGAGTGGCCAGCGCCAGCGGGTCGTGAGCTCGGGGTCGGGGGCGTCGAGGAGGGGGGTCGGCGCCACGACAACTCCAAGTCGTTGCTCCCAGGTGTCATGGCCACCGCCCCTTCTTTTTCTCTCATCACCTCCCCTGGCCCCCACCTGGTCCGCGCTCATGCCTCGGGCTGTGCTGCGCCCCCTTCCACCCTCGTCCTGCCCCTCTGCGGCACATCCGACTGGGGACTAGGGGCTCGGAGAGATCATGTGGTCGAAGATGTGGGGTGTCAGGAACGGGAACGAGGTGAGGGGGGGCAGTGGCTCAAGCACCTTTCCCGCCTGGAATCCCGACCTCTTTTTCGCATCGCTCTCTTCTCCTGCTTTGGAGGTTCTGTCCTGCACGCTGTGGATCTGTGCTGTGCCAGTGGCGTGCTTTTGAGCTTCCGGGGAGGGCGGACGGGCAGGCGGGGAGGGGAGGCCTTGCTTCCCTCCCCGCGGAGGAGGAGGAGGAGGAGGAGGAGGAGGAGGAGGAGGAGGAGGCGGAGGAGGAGGAGGAGGCAGAGGAGGCGGAGGAGGAGGAGGAGGAAGAGGAGGAGGAGGAGGAGGAGGAGGAGGAGGAGGAGGAGGAGGAGGAGGAGGAAGAGGAGGAGGAGGAAGAGGAGGAGGAGGAGGCGGAGGAGGCGGAGGAGGAGGAGGAGGAGGCTGGGCACGCCAGCCGCGCCCCTCTGGCGCAGAGAGAGTGGCCCCCCGCGCGGCCTCGGGTTCTGTGCTGGCGTTGGCCGCGCGTCCCGAGGCCGCGACGGGCAGGCCTCGATCCAGTCTGGAGGGCGTGCCGTTTTCGACGCCTCTCGTGGTTCCCACCGGCCCACCCAGGGCTCGCTGCCTGGGCGGGTCGCCGTGGTCCAGGATGTGCAGGGTCGCTCAGGAGGGTGAAAAGACACAGACACAAGGAATCGTCGATTCCCCAGAAAGTGTGGAAAGTATGGGAAGTGGGGGGGAAGGCAGAAGCCCAGAAAATATGGGAGAGTATGGGGAATCTGGTTATTTGTGTCTATTTATTTGTGTGTCCCAGTTCCCCTTCAAACATGGTGAGGCAGCCGTTCTCTCCAGAAGGTGGGGGAGGAGGAGGAGGGGGGGGGAGAATGAGTGAGTGAGGAGGGGGCGGAGGGGATTGCAGGAGCACGTGCCCACTCAACTTCACTTGAACCCTAGGTTGCAGGAGGAGGAGGGATTCGCTCTGGGAGCCTCTTGGAGCCATCTTGGGACCCTCTTGGTGCAATTCTGGGAGCTTGTTGGGGTGCTCTTTGAGGTTTTGGGGGCCTCTTGGGGCCATCTCGGAGGACATCCATCGAAAAGGGTATGTCCTCAATTCGACCCCCCCACCTCGGAGCTCTCTTCGGGCGCTCCTGTGGCCGTCTTCAACTCAGTGGGCCCGTCTTCGGGGTGTAGTGGGTGACCTTGGTGCCATCCTGAGGCCTCAGAGGCTCATCGGAAAGCGACAGTGCGAGAATGCGAACAACATAGTAACACACAATCTTTTCTGGTATGCAAACATACCCTGTGACGTACCCAATACATTTGCATCAAGTGACCAGATTAGTTGGCCCACGTTGTTATGGATTATGACAATGTAAGGGCCGTCGCTGCTTGTGCAAATCACATGGGATGCGCGCACGTTGCACGACTCACAGGACAACAACATACCAGCCAGGACTGAGGCCCCAGGCACGAAGAGGGAATGTGGGCAGGAACGAGGGACAGAAGAAGGACGCGCTGGGGGGACGAAGAGTCAGCGCGACAGCATCAGGGACCAGGCAGACGATGGACAGAGGAAGAGGACGACAACGAAACAGGCAGGGTGAGGAAGGAGGGTGGCGATTATTTCCCAGTGGCACGTTGGACAAGCAACGCGGCCCGCGCCATCTCGCTCTGGCGCTTCCAAGGAGCAGCTAGTGCAAGGAACGAGCAGTGCCGAGCTCCCCCGCCAGTTTCTCCGCCTCCTTCCTGCGTTGTTCAGTGCGGGAGCTAAACGCCCGCAGGCGCGCCGCCAGGTTTGCGGGCGGCCCGCGGGACAGGAAATCAAGGCCAGGGTCGCGTACCATCAGCAGGTTGTCAAACGTCGTCGCCCTGGAGAGCGCCACGTCGAGATGCAGCCAGACGGGGGTCCAGGTCCTCCGCGTCCTTGCGCCCGGCGTCGACAATGACTCGGGTGCATGATCCGGCCCTGGCAGGCCGCGGACGTCAGAACCTCGACATGAGAGATGACCAGACCGCGCGTGTGCCCATGCGCATGTGGAAGTCAAACGGGTTCAAAGTCTGTGGCTCGATAAAATGAGGCCCGCAGTCCCCGACGGACGGCGAGGTCTCATGGTGGTATGCGTAAGACGCCACTCTGCTGGTTTCCCCGGGGGTTCCCCAAAGTGGCGCCACGCGCGCAGGTTACAGCCCCCCAGGAACGGCGCGGTCTCACGGTGGCCTGCGTAAGACGTCTTCTGGCGGGCCTCCCAGCAGCCCACAAAATCAAAGACGGCTTCGCAAAACACAGCCTCCTAAAGACGGCGAGGTCTCATTGTGATCTGTGGAAGATGTCGCCCCCGCTGGGCCTCCCAGGAACCCACGAAAAGGGACGACATTGGCGCAGTTCACAGCCACCCAGGGAACAGCGCAGGAGGAGGCAGGATGGGGGCGAGAGAAGGAGGTGGAGACCGCAGCGCTCTATTCAAACAGAGAGCCCAGCATGACGGGGTTTGGAAACATGAAATTGGACTGTCGGGGGCGTCGCTTGGAGACCCCGGGGCCACCTGGGATTGTTTTGTGGCACTTTGGGGGATAGTGGAGGCATGATAGAGGCTATCTTGACCATCTTGGACCACGCAGCACCATCCCGAAAACCATATCAACGCGTCAAGATCCATGGAACCATGTTGGCCCAACACTTCCCAAAGAAGCCTTCGAGATGTAAACAGCACTCCAAATCAGTAGATCGTTCAGTGGTTCTGGCATTGAGCGAACAACTAGTTTTTGTCAAACGAATTCCCCCGTTGAAAGGCCCTCTTGAGGCGATCTTGGGGCGCTTTTGGGGCAGTGCTGGGTGTCTTGGAGGCCACAGTTGAACCTCATGTGTCCCATTCGGGGCTCTCCGATTCCCCTGAAGCGAATCAGAAACGATTCGGTTCGAAAGCATAACTACAAAACAAGCAGCCACCTTATGTTTTGTCAGCGCCAGAAGCTATCTCGTTCA